ACCTTCTTTAAATAACAGCTACAGCATCACCTCTGCACCTCCTCCAGCAGCGTCTCCCCCGCGCCGCATGTGGATGTCTACGTGCACATCCACGTGTGCCCGTGTCAACAGACTGTAGTTTCATCATGTGGAGTGTGTGCACATGAGTTTTGGTCCAAATTAAAGGGGGAAACATGAACATTTGAAAAGATTAGTCAACTGAAAAGTAACTATTCTGGTAGCTGTTTTACAAACATGCCAAATATTCCATGGCTCTAACTCCACAAATGTGATGATTTGCTGCTTTTTCCTGTTAAATTCTTCAATGTTTTAAATTTTTTTTTTTTATTATAATTGTGAGGTTTGGACTAAACATCACTGTGGGCTTTGTGTAATTCTAATGGCTGTCATTCAGTTACCAGACACCACCTGAAAACGTACCCTACCACAATAACGCTGCTTCCTTACAAGGGAAACGTAACATTTTACAAGATACTGAACTGAAATCAGGAATAACATGCTAGAAAGGTTTTTGGCCTATGTACAAACACACTGAGAGCCGATGTACCAGAGTCAAATTCCTGGTGTGTCTGACACACCTGGCCAGTAAAGCTGATTCTGATTCTGTGGTAGAACCTCGGATCCACAGTATGAACCAGTTCTAGCTTCACAAGAACAAACACAATCAGGAGACACGGAGCTCTCAAACTGTATAATATCCCCAGGTTGTGTGCGAGTCCACCACAGACCAAAACACACGTATAATAGTGTAAATAAAGGCCAAACCGTCCCACAGGTGGGACGGCGTATTTAAAAAGGAACAATCAAGAAAGTAAACAACAGGTTCACAAATCATTTGTTCCGTAGTTGCAGCCCTAGAACTCCAACCTAAACAACAGTAAATGCTACGCTGATGCATGCAGGTACAGTACGTCTACATGGACAGACTAGGTTGTGCCCACTTTGGCTCTGAATGTCACAGATGTTTGTGAGTCAGATCGCAGCTTGACTCTCCACCACTATAGCAAGGAGAATGCTGTCGCAGCCTAATGTGGCTACGAGCAGGTTGATAACCGTTCCTCCTCTGCTCTCACAGAAAGCGCCATCCAGTCGTTTGGTTACGGCTCAGAGGGAGGGACCCCGCTTGGAACCGAGCCCTCATCCACCTTCTTGCCCCCCGCCCAGCCGCCCATCATCTCCAAACCTGCTCCCTCGCTACATGGAAACGCAATCAAACCCATGGACAGTGCTTGTATGTTTTCCACCTGTGCCAACTTGCAGGTGAGTTGTACTGGTGGCATTTACAGTTTCTGTCTGAGCTCCCACTGCCCAACAGAGGACAAGGACGCTGACAGAAGCGCAGTGGTCATGTGATCTGTACAGCGCCCTGCCACTGGGCCATTACTCTGGGCAAAATAATGAGAGCAAGCACCATACCCTCCATCTGCTGCACAGGTCAATAACCAGCTGAAAGCTCCCGTCCTGTCTTTGTAGAGACGACCAGTCAGTAACACAACAGCACTGTCTTGTACTCATCACAAACCGACCAAAGACAGAGAACCATGCATTCCACCAGGCAGACACGACCAAGGAGGCCTGAGCACCACAGACTTATGTGCTCTGCTCTTCCTCACCTTCACACACATTAGTGTCATCCTGCCTGCAGTCAGGGAAAGTGGAAACACATCCATTATGTGGAGGGAAGAGGTGTAAGGCTGCAGGCTAAAGGCCAGCATAAATTGCTATCCATTATGTAAGAGATTTAAGGCATGAATTATAGAATACCTCCACACATACTGTGACTCTCTTACATATACATACTTTGTGGAGTTGTCAGACTAAATGAAAACTACATAAAGAACACTACAGCCACTTGTTTGTGTTCTAATAAATGTACTGCTTTAGGGCGCTCAGTAAAGGGAGCTCCGCCCACGTTGCACCCTGCAGTCGAAGGAAAGCTGCTCATTATTAAAAATATTCTGGTAAAGCAGCAGCTGCACACAAGCTGGAACATGAAGAACATGCACATTTTGAGTGACAAGGTGCTAAACTGCTTATGAACCACTAGGTGAAGTACAGCGAGCACCTGACGCCAGTACGGCGTGCTTGGCTGGTGTTACAGTCCCCAGACGGAGGATGGTGTTGAATTAACTGTGTCTGACAAGTCCAGTGCGGCGTATTGTGGAGGCAGACCGTGATTAAAAACACAGACGTTGTGGCTCCGATCAGAAAACGGGGGCGGGGACAGATGGGTTGTTTGGTTTTGAGGACTTATTTTGAGGAATAATTTTGTCAAAGCGTTCGCTGACATATTTATTCAGGCTGTGGGTTTTCCTCCTGGGATCTGTCCATGTTTTACACCATCACTATTCATTGATGGCAGCATCTGCTTTGGCTGTAGAGGCAGGAAGTGGCCGTGTCTCCTGTGAGCTCATTGTGATGCTCATCTAAACTTCACCGTGCCTCAGGGTCGGCGGTGTTCTCCTTAATGTCCAGCCCGCAGACATCCCCGCAGCACAGGGAGGTGAGCGGTGCCAGCAGCTCGCTCGCTATACGGCACGCCTTTTTAGCATCTGGCAATCTTCCATTCAGATGACGAAAGTGAATTGCTGCAGATGTTGTTAGGATGGGAGTGCACGGATCGTGTGGGTGTACAGTTGCATGAGGACATCTGTGCTAGGCGCTCCGTGTTTTCATTTGAGCTGCAGGATTCCCCTGAGACAGCGAACAGGGTGAGGTGGGGGCAGCAGAAATAGTGGAATACTGGTAGGCAGCAGATCACCAGAGCTTAAATAGAGGAGTTTCCTCTCACCACCCCCACCCACCTACAGTACAGCACACACACACACACACACACACACACACACACACAGATGGACACCTGTGCTGCAGAGGCATGCAGGCCGCCACACTGCTAGATTCAGACACAAGTGTCAAACTCAGCATCTACAGTCAGGTCGATGGAAGCCAAGGGTGTTCAAGGGCATAGAGGAAACGCTCTCCTGTTTTTCTGCTGGGTGTTAGATGTTCAGATCCAGTGATGGAATGGAACTAAGGACATTCACTTTCAAGTACTTCAGTATAAAAATGCTAATTTCGTTCCCCCACTGACTACAGGAGCAGTGTGAAACAAGAGAATAACCACCAACATGGTCTGTGACCCTCTGCACTTGGCCCAGGGAAGTACTGAGTTAGCTGATGTTATTTTCCAATTTCACATGCTGCGAACACGCACTGTTTACATACCAAATTCACCCCCCAGCAGTGTCCACCAAGCCATATGGCAGCAGCTGGGATTTCTGAGCGTTTCCAGTAAATATGCAGCCTCTGTGGTCACACGGCGGCAGAGATGAAGTTACATCTGAGCAGAGGCCGATAGGAAACAGATTAAAACAGTGAGATGGAGAAAAAGCTTGTAATGTAGCAGAGCGCCCCGTCCCTGTGGATACTCCACATAGCCTCATGCATGCTGCAGTGAAACGTTTTCCCAAAGCACGGGAACACAGCTCTCGTTTTCCTGTGAGCAGTCAGCTTAAGGCAAACAGGCCAGGAGCTCACTGCAGCAAACAGCCACTATGAAGAGGTCTCCTCCGCATGGTTTGAACATTTGTACATATATATTTCAGAGAAACTGATAATGATACAGCGTTTCCAGGCTGCTCGCCATGATTTCCCATCATTGGAAAGAGTTTTCTTCTTTCTGTTTGAGTGATAAGATCTGATTGGCTCTCCCATCCAGGCGTCGGGAGAGATATGCTAATGAGGCGCTGACAAAGAGGCTGATGGACGACTCAGATAAACGATGCTGTGTGTGTTTCAGGAAGCCTAAGTGGATTCAGTGTCACTGAAGCCAGTGAGTCCTACTGAACCGTTCCTCATCCTTCCTTGAGACAAGAAACAAATGGCAGGTAGTTTCCCAGGTCTGAATTCACACCTCAGTGTATTTTAACAATGTTCTTAATCCGACTTGAAACAGACAAAGTCCTTGATAATGTAACGATCATGCAGGTTTATGTTCAGGCCTCCAGAGGAATCTGGTGGATGTCTCTAAATACTGCAAAAGCCCTGAGCTGCTGCCATGGAGAAGTCTGACAGAGGCTGAGATATACAAATACAATCTGAAATGATCCATAGTTGACCCAGAATCTGGACACGTCTTCTTGTTTTCTCAGCAGTATCATCTGTTAGCTGAGAATGTGGGAGGATCTGAAGACCAATGACAGGACGTTTGTTGTCGATCGGCACCTTGAGAGTCATACTTCTCCTCTTTAGCTTTCGTGTCCACGGGCATCTTGTACCTTTGACTTTTTATCGAAGGACAAGATCAGTCTCAGGCTGTAATAGCTCCTGAGCTATGGCTAACACCTGTTATCCTCAGTGTGATGTGTGTGTGCACCGTCACTGACACCTCATACTGTTACTGTGTGTTGAATGAATCTTACTAAGCCTCTGTGTTCACCTGCATTAGGAGTTTCAGTCTGGGACTCGGTGGCAGACGACTGGTCAGTTTGGAAGGAAAATAAACAGCACAGGTGTGTGGCTGGAAACAGGAAGTGACACACACGTGTCCACCTCTAAACTGGAACTTCACAGGTTTCCAGCAGCTGCTTTATTTATACAAAGTGAAAATGTCGATCTAGACGTTTTCTGGCCCAGTGCTGTGCGTGTATCCTCAGCTGTCTAAACAGAAAACCAGTCTGTGACACACCATTCTGCTGTTTTTCATGTACTGTACATCCCCTATTGACGTTCATATTATATTTGAAGACGACCGACGTGACACACCATTCTGCTGTTTTTCATGCACTGTACATCCCCTATTGACGTACGTATTATATTTGAAGACTACCGGTTTACGTGAATGGCACCAAACAGCTCCACTCCAGCGAGTCCGTTAGAGTTCACCAGTCGTGCTCCAGAAGGTTCTGGCGGATTGTGTGCTGTTTCTCTGTGACAGAGGAAACAAATGTAGGACATTCATAAGGACGCAGGCTGAGAAAGGCCTGCTGCTCAGCCAATCAGATAGCGTCTCCAGTGGCTCTGAGAACAACAGCCTGCTCTTATTTATGAGCGTCACAAAAACTCTCCTTTAATGAAGACCTGCTGCTGTGAACACGAAGCAGCCGCTGTGCCTTTCTGGTGATTTCTCATAATGGGCTTCTGTTTTACAGGATGGAGGCCAGAAGTGCATCTCCTCTGATGAATTCGAGTGTGAGGAGGTGAGGAACTTTGATTGCACACCTTTGTGTTTTGACACTTTAGAAACTAATTATGAAAACAAGAGGTTTGGTAAAATTCTATGCATTCACAACATCACACAAAGAACAATCGTTACAGGCGGCGGTTCGCTTATTTATGAAGTGTCGGTGCAACATCAACTCAAACAAGCAAGAAACATATTGTTATGTCCAGTATATTGTTACTGATATAAGGATTCACCTGTGTGAGCACAGGAAACAAAGCAGGGAGCAGCTTTACAGTAGACGATAATCAGGTGGAAGACGTACTCCCGTCTTTTACTTGACTTTAAACGTCCTAATACCACAGTTTAGAAGAGTCCTGCACTCAAGGTCTGTCCATTAATACCGACTTGTGCTGCATTAAGAATCGACCATGGCGTTTGTTCAGACAAGAGGCCGACAGATGCATCAGATTAATGGAAAGGAAGAGCACGTCTGGGAGGACATGCAGTGTGAGCATGTTGTGTGCACACAAGACCAAATGCTGCATGAAGGGGGACACCTTTACATATACATATGTACATATACACGGTCGTCTGGTCTGGAAGGTTCTAATCACCGACACCTAAACGCTTCCTTCTTACAATGTGTTAAATGTTTGTGTTTCCTATAAACGCCCAGCAGGGTGTTAAAGAGTTACTGCAGAATGTGTTTGATCATCTTCTTTCTCCCACCCCCACCCCCCAAACCCCTGCCCAGGCTCTGTTGGCCCAGGGGTCAATAGACTCTCCGGACTCTGCGGGGCCCAAGAGCAGCAGCCGGCACTCAGCTCCACTCCTGCACCGCGCCCCTGTGACTGTGTGTGTGTGTGTTCTGCCAACCTTTCTACTCTACATCTCATAAATGTGAACTCACAACCAAACACACAAACACACACACACACACACATATATACACACACTTCTAAATGGCAAAACCCAGAGAAAGTCGCATGATGAACGCCCTTCACTACAGGAAAATGTCAACCAGCAGACGCCCGAGCAGCAACAACGGCCTTTCCAGGAGGGAAAGTATTCTGGAGGATGTTCAGATGAGCTCTCTCTCTCCGCCACACACACAATGACGACGACACTAGACTGTGGATTTTGTGAACAACGAGAACGGCAGAGACACAGACTCTTGGGATTTTGGATCTCAGCGGCTTCTTTTCCAACGGTCCGTGACTGGAGGGCTTGTGTGCAGCCCAGCTCGGACTCACTCCCGCCGGCTTTGTTGGATCTGAGACAGCTGGGCCGAAAAACAGTGGGACTTTGGCTCAAGCACAAAACCACACACACACACACACACACACACTCACACAACAAGTCTTACTGGCAGCAACAAGAGAGAGAGAGAGAGAGGAGAGGATTTTCAGGCTGCACAGATGGGACAGATCCTTCCACGGTGTTTGTCAGCTCAATTTATCACCCCGGAACTCTCTGGTGGCAAGAAGTCTATACGACATACATACAAAGCACAAACACACACAGACACAGACACACACCGTCGCCCTCCCCTTAGACCTCGTTAGCGGGCAAACAGGGTCTCCACACGGACACAGACACTCAGTGTGCTTTCTGCGGGTCTTTATCTTAATTTTGTTGTCGACATCCTGTACAGAGCTCATTCAGTGTGAAATATGAACAAAGCCCATCAAACAGAGTCTCGCTGGAGGAGTGTATATTTCACCTTCTGTTAGTGTACAGCTGTGAGTGTGTCTTTCTTTATGTGGGTGTGTCTGAACAGCGTGTGTGTGTGTGTCTGTGCTGGGAAGCAAAGAAACGCTGTAACAATTTCAATCTACAAGCAACTGAATCCCACAGTGTGAACCTGCATCGCTGCTGACTGCTTCATGCTGACGTTTAAATACCACTGAAGAGAACACAGTGACACCTTTTACTTTATCCTCAACATCATCTGTTCCAGGTCTGCTTATTTTGTCAAAATTCAATTTTGTGAATCCGTTTGCTGCTGCACACGTTCACGGCTCCGCTGCCTCATTCTGGTTCTTATACTCGTAACATCTGCCCTGTCCTACCAGACACTGGAGATGTGCCAGATGTGCTGCGTCAGCACAAAGCTCCTGTTAGAGCCGAGCGTGAACAGGCAGCTTCACTCCCGACTAACTGTGCCAGTACAGGAATTGATCAGTTATTGATCGGACACCGGAGCATGAATAACAACACAGTGATAAGTCTGCTCTAAGCACAGTCAGATGTGTACACTCAGTGCTCAGTTTATTAGGAACACCTGTGACACACTGAGTTGGTCTGGTCCTGCAGCGAATCGTCCTCCATGAAGGTGACGATGTTCAGTCTGATTCACAGAGGTGTTGGTTCACCTGTGTGGTCACTGTGGAGGCCACAGGTTGTTCACCTGGACCAGGCTACATGGAGAGCTGCTTCTGACAGGTGTTTGTTATGTTTTCACCACGTTCCTGAGGCACTGACGCTCAATAAATTGACCACACTAATGTGGATAAAGTCAAATACTTCAGTGTTACACATTCAAGTGTATTTATGTGTGTACATGAAGTACTCAGTGGTGATTTCATTTTGCAGTTCAATTGCTTATAACATTGAAATATTATGTCCTCTTTTGTTTCTATAAATGTGTGCGTGCTTGTGTGTGTGCGGGTCTTTCAGTGTGTACTTTACCTCTGGCCACTCTGTGGGGTATTTTTTATGTTCCATAGAAGCTACCGGGCTGCGGAACATGGACGGGGGCCTGGTCTGAGGCTCGAGCCGTCACTGCCCGCCCTCCATCAGAGCAGTGGCTGTGATTGTGGCGTGGCCTTACTTTACTGGTCGTTCTTACGTACCTGAAAGAGGGGAGAGGATGGTTACTGCCCCACTAGCAGTCAGGAAGAGGGACGTTTAACAGACATTAAGCACTGATATTCATGAACCCCTGAGGATGAATTGTAATGATTCTAATGACAGCTTTTCAATAGCACGATACCTCAATCATGAACCCCTGAGGATGAATTGTAATGATTCTAATGACAGCTGTTCAATAGCACGATACCTCAAAATTCAGTCAACTGTTGATATTCATGGTCCCCAGATGAGGAATCCATATGTTTACTGTGACCCCTGACCTTTCTCTAGTGCCACCATCAGGCAAGAATTTCACATCTTATTACAAGGATAAAGTGGGTGCAAGTGTTTCAGTGCCGTGGAGGATTTTATTGTTTCTTTCACACTACAAAAAATCTAATGTTAGATTGCAACTCATTCATACTCTCCAGGGCATTAACCCTTTGTATTTTGTCCTCTATCAGGTTCCCTTTTGCACCATGAGACTAAAACAACAAACATGAGAAACTACAGGCTGAATTTTAACTTAGTTTGCTGTAGCTATTCATAATCCCCAGAGGATTAATCCTAAAGAATCCGTTGAGCCTCTGACATTTTCACTACAATCACCAAAATGTTGGATACTGGCCCAGTATCTGTAAGGGACAGATTACTGTACCTTAAAAAGTACTCACTTCTGGATATTCATGTTCCTCTGAGGTGGAATCCCCATATTTTAGTTGACCCTGATCTTCATCTTGTGCAGGCATCAGATGGGACTAGATGGGTCCTAGATGGGTCCTAGATGGGTCCTAGATGGGTCCTAGATGGGACTAGATGGGTCCTAGATGGGTCCTGGGAAGTTGATTTATTTGCAATAAAAAAACAGAAATTGATTTAAAGCAGTTTTTGGGGGTAAATAATTAAATTCAATTTACAGACACAAAGAATGTTTGTTCAGTCATATTAAATTTAACAAACGTGTTAATGTGAAAGAAATAAGTTTGTATCATCAGCAAAAGGTAAGAGAAGTATAACGTTTATATATAGCTGAGAATAAAAGGGGTCCAACAACAGATCCCTGTGCCATATCAGCAGTCCATACGTTTCTGAGTAGTGACTGAATTTGAACGCCATAACTTAATACGCTGAATGTTCTGACCACCTGTATGAAACCCAAAACACACTGTGCTCTACATCCAAAGCAAGTTCATGATTGTCATAGAGCAGGATCATTGTATCCACAGCTGTGTCCCTGAATCACTTTTTTCTGGATCGATACTGGGGCGCACGCAAAAATCAGAAATGAATCTTAGTCTGACCCCCCCCTTCCCCTTCCCCCGGCTGGGAACCACCGGTGCCGTTTTAATCCCGACTACTGTTCAGACTGACATCAAGCTCGGATTCCTCTGTCCCAAACTCTCCCTGGGCTGAGTGCAATGAACACGACAGCTCTGGGGAGGCTGGACACCACACCCTGTTCTGATTATGTGGCGGGAAAGAGAGAAAAGATGAGACGAGTGCAGGATAAAGGTGAAAGTGAGGTTGTAAATTTGCCGATATATTTGTAAACTTTAACAGCGCTACAGCAGTGTAACTGAAATATGTGTCTGGAGATCTCAATAAAAGCAACATCTGTAACAACAGCTGTCGACTTTTCGATGTGTGCGTGTTTGGTTTCTCTGTAACTAAGAGCATCATTTCCCCTGGGAAAACTGTCCCCTCACTTCTACTGTTCCAGGTTAGTTTTCTCCTCTGTGGACAATGTCCTCTGCTGATACAACTGTTGATACTGGCTGACAGCTTGCCCTGAGCTCTCACTTAACTCTAAAAGCAGCAACACTGGTGCAGGAAGTGCCTGACAGACTTTCACATACCCTGGGTTTTGTCTCACAGGCTACTTACAGGCTGACCAACCTCACTGGTAGCCAGACGCTACTCAGTGGCAAAAAAGTAGCCTGGCCCCAAGAGAGCTTTTCTGGTAAAACAAACCCCGAGTCGGGGGTCCTGGTGGACCCCCTGCATAAAGGGAGACACTGACTGAAATAGGGGAGGGAGGGTGGATTACAAGAAGTAGAAGTGTGTATTTCTTGGTGGTTTAAATCTGACTGGGAGAGGAAGGGTTGTGTGTGTTCAGGCACAGTCCTGCTCCTGAACTTCAGATTAAAATCTCCAGTAGAATGAAATGTAAAAGATAAGACAGGAGAGCAACTAATCTCATCTTAGAACGAATCAATGAAGGAAGACAAAAATGAACACAAAGGGGATCAGTGCATCACAGTAGGTAAGGTTTATTTACAGTAGGTAAATATAGTTATACTACTACTACTCATACTACTGCTGCTACTGTTACCAGTTATGGAAAGAACACAAATCTATTTTACCAGACAGAACTTAGTGTTATATGTTCAGCCTGTTTTGGTGAATGTCCACAGATCAGCCGGCTCAGTGATGACGAGGCAATGCAGAAAAACACAGTAAAGCCTTTATGATGATGATTATTGTTATGTAGAGGTTAGTTTGAGTGTTGCTTTACTAAAAGTTGTGTCGCCTTTCTGTTGGTTCGGACTAAAGAGGTGTGAAGGTTTGGTTTAAGAAGTGAGACTAACACATTTAGAGGTTCTTTGACAACAACAAACTAAACTATATGTGTGAATCTTGTTTCCTTTATCAATCTAGAAAATAATAAATAAATGTTATCAGGTTTTCAAAAACGAACAGTAGTGTTCATAGGGGCCTGATACTTTATGATTAACATTGTATGTGTGTTCAACTCCAACATTTTTAGGAGAGAAACTTCGTTATATTACTTGAAACCTGCAGTCAGGGCTATTCAGTGTTTGAGTCTGTGTGGCCTGAGAGTCCAAAGCCGGGGCGAGAGAAGCCTGCAAACTGTCTCTGCTGTTTGCAAAGATCAGCAGGTTTACAGTGAACACACTGATGTTTTTAAAAACAATCAAGACACATATATAAAAGTTTGTATCAGATTCTGACTGCAGAGGGTTTAGTGAGTACATCAAGCTGAAACCCTGGAATCAGGGAAACGACGACGCCCCTGCAGGTGAAGCACTCAGTCCTGTTTGACCCGGGTTCAAAGCCCACTCCTCCCTAATGTGCTCAGAAACCTGAGTAAGAGGCTTTTTAAAACGTCACCTCTGACCCCACCGTTATACCTGCATATGGTTTTTTTCTGCATAACCAAAAGGTGTTGAATAAGTTCTGAGTGATTCATAGCTGTTGTGGAGGAGCCGGGAGACGAGATGCCAATGCTGACACACTGAGTGTGTCCTCACAGTGACTCACACTCCAGCTGCTTGTGTTGACAGGCAGGACTGTTTATGACAACAGATCAGAAGAAGCTTGGACGGTCTGTAAAATCTAAATTAAAACTGAAAACAGTGATGTGTAAATCATCTGTGTCCCGTTTTACACTGAAAACGGTCGGGCAGCACATTATTTGATGTGACACCTCACCAACTTTATTTGTTCACATTAAACACTCACTTCCATCCTGATGCTGCAACACGTTCCAAGAACAGCTGGGACAGTAAAGCCTGTACCACGGTGTGATGCTGTCCTTCCTTAAAAGACATTTAGGGACTGAGGACACCAAGTGAGTCAGTGTGTTGGGTGTCATTTTGTCCCATTCTTCCTGTAAACAAACCTTATCGTGCAACAGTCCTGGGTCTTTGTTGACACGACCTGGGTTTCAAAATGTGCCACACATGGGGACGGGTGGGGACTCCAGGCAGGTCAGTCCAGCACTCACATCCTCTTCCTCCACAGCCAGGCCTTGGTGCAGTATGAGGTTTGCATTGTCTTGTTGACATATACATGGCGTCCTGAAGGCAGCACACCTCTCTATGTTGTTCAGCATTAATGGAGCCATCACAGAAGTGTGTGACCTTTGCCCCGGGCACTGACACGACCCCAGACCATGACAGACCCTGGCTTTTGGACTGGTTGCTGCTAACAGTCTGGATGGTCCTTTTTGTCTTTGGTCCAGAGCACATGGCGTCCATTCCTTCCAAAACAGACCTGAAACACTGATTGGTCTGACCACAGTGCACGTTTCCACTGTGTGATGGTCCATCCCAGATGCCTCTGAGCCCAGAGCAGTCGACTGCTGGACACTGTTGACACAGGGCTTCCTTTGGCACAGCACAAGTTTAAGCAGCATTTATAGATGTAACTACGTATTGTAGTGGCTGACACAGGTGAGCCAACGTCATCCTGAGCCCAGGTGGTTATATCGCTGATACATGTCCTCCTTCTGCCTAATGCCTGCACTTATTCTCTCAGCTGGATCCAGACGACACTGATAGCAGGTTGGGTGAAATCATGCTCTATCCATCCAGCTCCGTTTCCCTCGTTTCCAGCCTGAATCAGCTTCGTTCTCCTTTCTGTCTCCATCTATGTGATCCACCTGTACCTTTCCTAGTGGACTGTCTAGATGTTACTTTCTTTCTACTGCCTTTTATACTCCTTATACAGTGTAGTACACTGTCGTATACTGTAGTACACGTGTAACGTGTTTCTAATATTGCCTGACTGTATATACACAGTAGTAAGCCAAGACTTTGCTCCACTATATTTACACCTCATGACATCAAATATGTATGAATGTGTATGTAAGGTTTAGGTTTAATCAGTGCAGGTGGTGACTGACCCTCGAGGCTTACCACAGCTGTGTTCAGTACTACACAGCTGTACAAATCCGTAGACCTGACTGTACTTGGCTGATGATGTCACCAGCTCTGGTACAGACTCGCCACTTCCCATACGTGCCAAACTGGAGCCTGGTCACCGAAGAGGCTGAAGCTCTGGGGCTGAGTGCTCATTAGCCTGCAGACTCTGGACAGACTAATTGGACTAGTGGAGAGAATAAATGCTCTGAATGTTGATTTAAACACTTTTGATCTCCAGGTCCACTGCATGTGTACAAGCCGGTACAGGTTTACTTATTCATTACAAAAACAGTCAAGTCAATACAGTGTACAGAAAGTGTGGAGGGCAGCAAGTATGGAGAGCTGGGATCAGGGGGTCTGCTGACACAAAAGCTGAGTAGGTGGGAGAAGACAAGGACTTTTGCTATTGCTGGACTTTAGAGTGCAGCAACACAGCTAATTCCTGGAGGCAGTAGGTGCCAATGTAAACTTGATTTGTATCAAACTCACAAAAGTGTCAGCAGAAAAGATTAGTTTGTTTGTGGGAGCACTAGTGTACCCACGTTGAGTCAGCTTGGCACTGAACACTGAGGAGAGGACAAGGGCTTTGTTCTAGCTTTTGGAGGTGTCACATTGTCATACTTTGGTGATTAGGTACCTGGACAATAAAGCTGAAAGCTCAAAGAAACTCAGCAAACCTTAGGGAGGAGAATGAAAAGACACATGACAGGACAACCCAGCACAGAGTCCCAGAGGAGCTGGGCCACCACGTGACACCAGAACAGCTCCACCTTGACTCTCCAGGTCTCTGAACTCTCCTGGAGGGATGAACACTGTTCTACCAACAGATGTTCCCTCATGTGGTGTTTTGATGATGGTGGTGGAGACGCCGTCTACCACGTCGCTCCAACATCTCCCAAAGCTGTTGAACTGGGCTGAGACCTGGTGACTGGGAAGGCCACAGCATCTGGATCATATAACGGTCATCCTCATCAGACCAGTCAGGGGACCCCTGGTGTCCTGGGGACGGGGACTCTGTCATCCTGGAGGAGACCGCTCCCTTATTCAGGTTGGCCCTGTCATCTGTCACCTGTCTGTAAGCAGGTGAGGAAGGTAAAGTGATCAAAGGTGAACCAGTGTCCATTCTACATGTGAGGATTTCAACTAACGAAGAAAGATCTGAAGAGAGAGCTGATGTTTGACCTTGATCACTTATCAACTAATGGTCTCAGCTCTAGAGTCCAGTGTCCCCCGTTCAGTTCGGACATGTCTGCACTAGCAGGACACAGGCCTCCTCCTGTCCTGCAGCACAGAGCAGGTTGGTGGTGAGAGGCTGACTGTGGTGGACATTTACTGTAATGATTAATGTCACTGGGCTTCCAGCGACAGTGTTACCGCTCCACCTCGTTTCCATCACGACACAGTGACCAGAGAAGGACTGGGGAAGAAGCCATAATCAGCCACCAGATGAGGTTAGCCGAGCACGGGCAGAGCTGCGGGGACTGAGTCCAGCCTGTGGTTAACGAGAGCTGACACAGCCGACAAACGACCCACCTCCAAACAGAATAATGGAGTTCAAATCTGTGTGAAGAGTCAGCAATGATAAACATCTCTCCACTGAATCGTGGAGTGACTACCTGAGCCCGGCTGATAGCCTTTAGCTTTCCCACATTTAATCAGGTCTCGTTGTGTGTGTGCATGTGTGTGTCAACGAGGCCTTTCAAGAAATATTTCAAAAATGTCAGTGTGCCTCTGCAGATTTCTGAGGGATTCTGTCCTCGAGACAACCTGAACCGAGGGACGACACGTTCTCTACAACGATGACATTCACAGTGAGACGTTAAATGTGTTTACCTGTATGAACAGATGCAAACTTTTCACCAAACAGGACATATAATGTTGCTGTGGATTTAGTGAGTTACACAACACGTGCCCTGTTTTTTAGCTTTAATTGTCC